ACACACACACACCCACACACCACACACACACACACACACACACACACACACACACACACACACACACACACACACCACACACACACACACACACACACCCACACACACACACACACACACACACACACACACACACACACACACACACCACACACACACACACACACACGCCGTCCTCTCCCAGTTTTCCACCCGTGTATGTTAGTTGCTACAAGGAAATACGTGTTTTTGTCCGGCAACTGTTCATTTGGGCGGTAAAACATTCAATTAAGTTGTTGTTAATTCTGATTTGTTTATGTTTATTCATGAATTTTGTCGGAATTATGGTTGACTACGTTTCGTTATACCAGTGACCGCAGCCAACCCTTGTCAACAAAGGCCCAAATGGTTGTTAACATAACACAGTGAACCCTCGACTCACCACTCCTGACAGTGAACCCTTTGTAACGGGGGGGGGGGGGGGAGGGTGGAAATTGAGAAAGGGGATAACGGAGAAATGGAAAAGAAAATGAGTAATGAATGTGTGAGGGTTTGGGGCGAGGGAGGTAGAGAGGAGGGAGAAGTGAGAAGTGGTCGAGTGAAAGGGAAAGTGGGAGAGAGGCGGAGGGAGAGGAGAGAGAGTAGGAAGTAGTGGTAGATGAGCAGAAGTAGAAGTAGAAAGGAAGGAATAGAAAAGAGCTGCCACCATTCATCCTAAGTCAGTACATAACAGACAAGGAATGGAACTTGTCTGTACTCTAAGCTGTTATCAAAGATGTTATTACATCTTACTTTAGCATGTATCAACTGTTATATTATAATCTTGTTCCTTGCTAAATTCTTTAAGTCAATAAACTCAAGAGTTTACTACACTCTAGCTTGTAATATATCAGAAAAATCAAGATATAGGAACACAATTAAAAGACAACTTAACCCATAAATGCATCAATTATATTTAACATGATATATATATATCATAATTCAGGCAATTTAACTTAAGGTTCACTTTTTCCAGATTTATAAACAACGTGATTCACCACACAAGACATTGAGACCATTACAGCTGACTGTAATCACACAACACCTTAGTAAACACGAACTAGTTCACCTTAACGTTCAATCACCAAGGACTGCCTAAGTTGAATAAAGAAGGGGGGGGGAGAGTCTACAGTTGACAGGCAGAGTTCCCCCCCCCCTTCCCGTCTGGCCGACAGCCTGTCTCGACTGCTGTCTGCTGATGTTCTGCTATGCTGTCCTCTGCTCTGCTCAGCTCGGCTCTCGAATGTACAGTTCCCTGGGTATTTATTGCGAATGTGGGAGCTAAACCCCGCCCACTAGTAGATAGCCCCGGGCCATCTACCAAGCCACACCTCAACCAACGGCTTGTTTGATGGTAAGACACCACGAACCGTCAGCTGTTATCGGCTAAGGAGAAGCGAGGTCAAGTGACGCGACCTGACCACTGGTCGGTTTGTAGTCATTAACACTCTACATGTGTGAGTTCTTAATTACTGGGGCCAGACACCCTGGCGCCTCTCATAGTCTTGTCTGACCGACTCATGTACTATGTTTATATTATATACAAAACACCTTTACGGTGTTACACCTTGACTCACCACTCCTGATAGTGAACCCCGTGACTCACCACTCCTGAGAGTGAACCCCCTGACTCACCACTCCTGAGAGTGAACCCCGTGACTCACCACTCCTGATAGTGAACCCCCTGACTCACCACTCCTGATAGTGAACCCCGTGACTCACCACTCCTGAGAGTGAACCCCCTGACTCACCACTCCTGATAGTGAACCCCGTGACTCACCACTCCTGATAGTGAACCCCGTGACTCACCACTCCTGAGAGTGAACCCCCTGACTCACCACTCCTGAGAGTGAACCATTGACTCACCACTCCTGAGAGTGAACCCCGTGACTCACCACTCCTGAGAGTGAACCCCCCGTCTGCTACCCACCGGAAACCTCTGCTCCAGATTAAAAGAGATAAGAAGGGAAGTTGAGCAAGACATTAGTCTAATTCCTGTTTGTCTTCGGCATTGGTTGAATCATCTTTTCAAATTTACACTGAAAAAAAATCTCCCTTTGAACTCCTGAAATGTTTTTTTCACTTAATTGTGTTCTTTCTTAATTCTGTTGATCTAATCATGCTTGCTGGGAGGTTGAGCTTTGGCTCCTGAGTCCTCGCCTCGCAACTTTTAATCAACAGGTGTACAGGTTTCGAATTATAATATATCTGTGTTTGTAACTGTGTGTGTGTGGAGCGCAATTCATTTGTTTATTTTTTGTGCACTAGACTCTGGTCGGTTACCATGTCGACGGCTTTCTGACCATCCATAAATATGCAGGGTGCCCACCCTCCACCTGTCTTGTCTGATGTTGGTGGCCTGGTCAGGGAATTCTCTGAGGCTTGTGGGACAAGATTGGCACTCTCTGAGGTGGAGGCGTGTTGGGAGGCCTCTTCTCTGCAGATGTGTCACGTCCTTCTCCATCATCTATATTGCAGGTTTGCATGGTATGCAAATTAAGGACACTGAGGTAGTAGTTAGGGGCCTCTCTCTGTCTCGCTCTCTCTCTCTCTCTCTCTCTCTCTCTCTCTCTCTCTCTCTCTCTCTCTCTCTCTCTCTCTCTCTCTCTCTCTCTCTCTCTCTCTCTCTCTCTGCCTCTCTCTCTCTCTGCTCTCTCTCTCTCTCTCTCTCTCTCTCTCTCTCTCTCTCTCTCTCTCTCTCTCTCTCTCTCTCTCTCTCTCTCTCTCTCTCTCTCTCTCTCTTGTATATTAACACTATATTGACTGTCTTTCAACTATCTGGTAGTTCATCTGTTTCCAATGGCTAATTCTACACCATAAAAAGCGGCAAACCCATATTCTTTAGTTATACTTATAGGTAGATATATTTATAAAATTTCCTAACATGATCATCCCAATGAGACCTATCTCCTATCCTACGTGAGTTAGGAGGGATGCCCACTATCGCCGCCCTGACTGATACCGGCATGACAGATTAAAATAAGTCAATGAGGCTGTTCTGATGCAAATTACAGTATTAGCGTTGGGAATTGGATTAGTAGGAATTTGTAGGTTTTCAAGATCGTAGTTAGGCAAACAAACGCACATATAGGCAGCGATTGGAGGGGGGGGTGGGGACTTTTTCTCAGTTACAATTATCTATTCAACTGGGTACAGGGGCGAATTACTTCTGACTCCTGTTAGCAGGCTGAGGGGCAGTTGGCCATTTCCGTAGGTCATTTAGTAGCTGATTATAGTAAAACTAGTAGCCTTATGCTACTATTTTCCCCCTGGAACAGGAAATTGGTTAACAACCAGGTACCCCATTATTGGCTGGGTGAACAAGGGTCGAACAGTTACAGATTGCATGGTGCTTAGTCAATCCTCCCCGCCCAGGACTCGAACCAAGGCCAACTCGGTGGCGGGGTGAGTGTGCTACCACTACGTCGCGAGGTCTAGGGTGGATGCTGTCATCACTGTCGTGATGCTGGTGAATCACGCCTCTCCCTCTCCCTCTCACACCTCTCCCTCTCACACCTCTCCCTCACACCTCTTCCTCACACCTCTCCCTCTCTCCCTCACGGATCATCAGGTATTACCTAAACCAACATTTGTATTCAGCCTCCAGACGTCCGTCTTGGCCTCAAGAATCACACACATTTTCCCTCCAGGTCTTCCCTAAACCTTTATCCCTTTCCTGGGATAAATCTTCCAGGAGGCTGCCTCAGAGGTCAAAGGTCAGACTCAAGGCAGGAGAGTGAGTTTACATTGGTCAAAGATGGGTGTTTCGTGCGGGGTCACAGAGAAACAAACTCGAGCTAAGGTTCCAAGCACAGTAGTCTACATCGTCGGCTCACAACTGAGTGACCCGTTTTCTTATATCTGATGCCTCTGTTCACCTGATTGTAGATAGTTACCCCTGGAGTTAAGTAACTGTTGTGGGTTGCATGCTTGGGTTATTTGGCGCCGTCCTCCCAACAAGGACAAAGATTGTAATTGACGAATTAACAGACAGATTTGTGGATCCTCTTCCACGGTGGAGCAGATGATTTTTGGAATAGAATTAGATTGCTTACCAGAGGAATCAGATGATTTTGAAGAGGATTTAGATGGTTTTGAAGAGGAATTTAGATGGAATTTGAAGAGGATTACTTCATGGACCATTTATATCACCTGACATAATATACAAGACCGTATAGTAGCTTTAAAAGAGCAAATACATTGTTTGTTTTCTCGAAGGCTCTAATTCAGAGCAAATTCTAGATGCCTCAACGAGGTAGAGGGAGAGCAAGTGTAGGGGACGAGCGCAAGTCACAGTGTTCACACCAGTTGTTGTTTGTTTAAATCTAACCTAACTTAACCTAAGGTAATACATCCTAACCTAACACAATATATGCGGTTCTAGCAGCATGAAAACGAGCTTCGTTGAATTATATATATATATATATATATATATATATATATATATATATATTATATATATATATATATATATATATATATATATATATATATATATATATGTGTGTGTGTGTGTGTGTATATATCACGAAAATAAACACGTGATTAAGAATGTGACAATGTCAGACCACGGAGGAAAATGAAACAGGAATTTCCTTAAGTACTTTCGTATATTAAATACATCTTCAGAAGGAATGAAGGAATATTCCTGTTCCATTTTCCTCCGTGGTCTGACATTGTCATATATATATATATATATATATATATATATATATATATATATATATATATATATATATATATATATATATATATATATATATATATATATAAAATATTCCCGGCTGTCCATCGAGGCAACACATTCCAAAACAGATATTGCAAGCCTGTTTATCACCTTTGACGTGATATTGCAATTTAACACCAA